CCCATCTTTATGTTCAGAAAAGGTTTATTCAATCCCTCTCTACACTTCCCGTGGCTTTCAACGCCAACCTAGAGAAGTTATCTATCTTCGTGACCCGGATAAGTGTAAATGTCATTTTTTTGTTTTTATGTGTACCGCTAACTTTATTAAGGGTATCATGCTGTGGTGTCAGCACCACCATATCTTAGTCTTAGTCTCACATTTAATTATTATTTTTATCCTTGTAGTAAGCTGTACAGTACTTCCAGGCTTTCCAATGGTTCTCTAAACCATGTCAGCTCATGATGAAATCCAGTTGTTATTCACTAACTCACATCCCTGAACTCTGATTACATTTCTTTTGTAAAATGTGTTGATCCGCACTGTTTCAAATGTCTATAACAGATATTTTATTATGTAATTGTAAAGCCTGATGATAAATCACCGAAAATACGTATTTGCTTGCTTAAATCGCATTCTATAAATAAATCCCCTCAGTTTTTCTATTTAATCTGATTTCTACAAATTATTAAGGGTCTTATCAGATTAAATTAGAAAAAAAATATTGAAATAATTTTGTACTAATATGTGTTTATACCCAGGTAAACTGTATATATAAGAATAAATATATATATATATATAAATCATCTTCGCAAGATGACTTCGATGTCACTGTCAGTTTCTTGACAATGACAAGATAAAATTCAGCAAGCTTTAGTAATAAAGATATTATCTGACAGGAGGAACAATCAAGAAAATCAAGAAATATATATATTTATATATATTAACACCAAGGAGACCATAAATAGCATAGTAAACTGATTTTACAATAAAACCCGGATGGTGTACATAATAAATTGCCTGATGGTTGGAGGCTGTAGGAAGGAAGCCCTATGCGGACTAAGGTTTCGTGCTTGTTAGCCTTCACGCGTCAGCAAGGCGTTTCTGAAATCACAAGCCTTCTGAGGTTCGAGATCTGGTCACCCAGTTCTGCTGTTAGAGACTTTATAGCTGAGCTATCAGGCCTCATGATTGACCTCCTGTCGAACTGTAGCGGATACTTTGACTGGACACATTAGAAGATATTAACAGTTTTAATTCATTTTAGAGACACCTACCACCCTTACATACCACTGGTTGGTGGACTTTATTTGTTGAATACCACTCATGTTAATCAGCAGTATTTCCCAGTCAGATCGAATTGATCAAATCACTAGGCGGCCATTTCGCTGGTTCGCGACCGAGCTCATCAGCTGCATACCCGGTTTTGATCATTTCATAGATGTGAATCAGTTCATAACATCCAAGTTCAGGCTAACTTCTTCGGATTACTGGTAATACGTTGCAACGATCCACCTCTCTAATCTGAGTCAAATCAGGTGCATAGCTGATGCTCCCAGCCCCATGTCAGTGAAACGTCCGTCCCATTTTTGGACAACTTCTGTACCACCAGCACTTCTAACTGGTATTAGATGGTTGGAGGTAATCGACAGGAAGACTTCCACCTCAGTTTCGTGCTGAGTGGCACTCATCAGCAAGGCGTATCTGCAACCTCGAAGGAACTCATGTCCTTTCTGAGATTCCAACCCGCATCACGCAGTACTGCAATCAGAGACGTTATCACTGAGCAATAGTCGCAAAATCCTGTAAGACTGCACTAGTCAGTAACCAGGGTAATGCGACTAGTCCTATCTTCGGTGCAGACTGATGAGTGCCAGCTGGCACGAAACCTAGGTCAGACAAGGCTTACTGACGATTGCCCACAACTATCTAATATCAACAGTTCACGGTGCACCATGATGCCTAGCCACGAAGTTTGGTGGTCACATTACAAGTCTGAGTGATAGAATTCAGTCTGCACCGAAGATAGGACTAGGCTCATTGCACTAGTTACTGACTAGTATCCAATCAAAAACTACTAACTGGTATCAGTAGTGACAACTACTCACAAAAATCGTTCTGCAGATTACAGCAGCATACGTTTATGATCACGTTCATGATCACCATTTGTGCTATGAAGGAGATCACATATTGTGACCCGAATAATTCCAGGTTCTAAAAGAAACTGTGGAGTCTTTTCACTTGGAACTGTGAACTTCAATTCGAGAATTCTCTACACCTCCTTTTTAACTGACTTCAAAAAGAACAGTATTTAGTAAACTACCAGTCCCTGACTTTTCATGGCATGCATCAAACTACATAAGTACTGGAGGTATTGAACCGTTGAATACTTCTAAATCTGACTACTTAAAAATAACTGTAAAATACACACACACATATCATCCCTGCCAAATAAATGTTGCTCTAGTCTTTTCATAAATATGATGTTTTAGATTCAATTACTCTTTACTGATGTATGAATTGGCTTCTACCAAATATTTTGTCCGAAATAACACCTTTTCACGAAATTGATATTCTGTCCTTCATGGCGAGCCTACAGAGTTTCATTGGCGTCTGTTTTCGTCATTCTGTTGAAAAACATTTGACTACATGCCTATATTCTGTAAATGCTTAAATCAACGACCCATTTGAGTTGCCTAGTAAGGCCTAGTTCAAATATCCACGTTGATTTGAAACAACTATTCAGTGATCAATAATTTAACAGTGGTTTTCTTACTTTGATAGTGTGTTGTTATTCTAATCAATTCACCTTATTACTTGAAAACAAATTAAATAAAATAAATTAAAAAGACTCTAGTATTTTATTTTTAGACGTCCTTATGACCAAAAAAGAGGATGGCACAATAAGAAGAAGTTTATATAGAAAAACTACATCAATCTCATAATTTTTCAGCTTCGTGCCCCTTTAAAATACAAATGCAATCTGATAAAGTGCTTGGCTCACAGAGCAAGAGCAACCTGCTCGGATGAATGATTTGATGAGGAATTTAATAATATTAAACGGCTGCTAAGTGAAAACAGTTATCCAGAAAAGTTTATTGATAAGAACATGAATCTGAAATCAAAGCAGCCCAAAGTACCAACAGTTCCTAAAAAGACTTATTCTTACAAATTCAGTTCCTCGGAGACAACATCAGCGAGATACTAACACAACGCCTTAGAAATGCGGTAAAAAGAGCATTCCCTGCTGCTAAATTACGCTGTGTCTTCAAAACCACTCCTCTTTTGCGTTCAGGAGGAAAAGACAAACTGCCTAATTTCGTCTCGCTCGTCTGTATCTATCAGTTTAACTGCTCCTGTAGAGCCAGTTGCATAGGGCGTACAATTAGGCGTGTTTCTTGTTGGATTTCAGAACATCACCCTGCATAGTGGTTAAGTAAAGGACAAACAAAATCTATACGTGGCGCTACTCTATCTCATCTTATGGATACAGAACACAAGATTGGTGCTAATCAGGCTTTTTCAGAATCATTTACCACATACCAACAAGTCTTAATTTCGCCTTAAGAGTTCGATTACTAAATATTGCTGAGGCTGGCTGTTGGGATCCACATTAAGAAGCCTAATTTGTGCGTCCAAAAGAAGCTAGTTCAGACATTGTCCTTACCGCTTGGCCATCTAGGTTTGAATAAACCTCAATTTTTGTGGAAATTTCCTAATTTTAGTTGATATTCTATTTGCTATTATATCTTTATTATTATTATAATTTAAGCATATTTAATGAACTGTAATTCCATTGATCCTAATTTACAAATCGATATTACTTAAAAAACACCAATATTTTTATTGACTACTATTCTAGAATATTCTATGTATATAAACATGCATATATAATTGTACAACCAGAAGAGGAAATTATCGAAAAAGATATTCTTTGCTCAATTATTTTGTGTTTTATAAAAGGCTATTGTTATTATGGATGTCAAAAAACATTTCAGTGGATAATGGAGATTGAGCTTGCTCTCAGATGTATGGGTTAAAAATGAAAATCTGGTGCAGCGGTAGAATGCTCACCAACCACGTATAAGTTCCAGGGTTCAATCCCCAGCTGATGCACTCCTAACCCTCGCCTAGCTGGTAGTAGTAGATCCGGTAAAGAGGGAAGGTTGGGCGTGAGGCTAGCAACTCCACCCAAACTTCAAAGCTCTAGCTTGAAGCCTTATGTTCCATTTCTAATGTTAAGGATTAAAAAATACGTAAATAAATAATTTAAGACGTGGTGGTAACTTGTAAGGATAACTTAAGGCTTTAAATTTTGAACTACTTAGTCAGATTAAAGACAGGACATTCAGTATCGTGGAAGACATTATATTTCTGTTGGGTCGTAGAAGCTTAAAGGCGATCGGCAAGACGCTTTCGATTTAGAATTTGTGCTTCTCACCACTCGTCAGCAAGGTGTATCTAAAATCTTGAGAGAACATAGTCTTCTCTGAGATTTTAACCCTAGTTAATTATGTTTCGAAGCGTCGGCGGCACAGCGGTTAGGACGCTCGCCAACCATGCACATGGTGCCAGGTTCGATCCCTGGCCACCGACGCACTCCTTCACCTCGCCAAACCAGTAGTAAAGCTGGTAAAAAGGAAAAGTTAGGCATGAGGCTAGTAACCCTATCCTGTAAAAGTAAACGCTACTGCTACAGAAACTTCAGGTCTCTAGCTTGAAGCTCTATGTTCCACTGGGAACGTGAAGGAATAAAAAAAATTATGTTTGCAGTCACAGACTTTCAAACTGAGCTACTCAGGTTTTCAACTGAACTCCTGCAGGACTGTAACAGGTAATTATAATCACTTAACAACAATCTAGAGTGCACAGTGGTGACTAACCACCACCTAGACGCATGACATTGGCTATCACCTAGTGACCAATCAAAGTATTCCGTTGATATATAGTATAGTGTGGGGCACATATACAAAGCTCATGTACTTGTCCATTCATTAACAGTTTATCATTACTGTAATATTCTGACCGGTCGGAGAATTAACAAAAAGTTTCCAATCCTAACGTCTCAAAAGTCAACTATCATATCTCTCATTCACTTAATAACCGTTACAATTAAACACTGTTATCATATATAAGCAGAATAAAGCAATTTGTACTAGTCATTTTTATAGAGTACTTACATCACAATAATATCCAAGAGTTTGTTTAGGCTTACTTTCAACAGAATTCTCCCCATTCGTACAGTCACTTTCATTTTCATGATGAAATGATGTTGTCTCTTTGCATTGATCATTATTCATAACATGTTTAGTATTATTATTAAAGGATTCATTAGTGTCTCCTGTTGATATGTCTGTGTATAATTCTGTATCAAGTGAATTACGCTTGATTTGTCTCATTCTCAGCGATTGTTTTGCATGCGCTAAACGTCGTGCTGATGGCGAAACACAAAACTGCTTCCATTCTGGTTTGCATCCATAACCGAAAGCATTTAAGGCTGCATTCAGATAAATAGGTCCTAAGAAAATAATTATAAAAATTGAACGTTACCTTAGTAGAAGCTAAACAAGTTTTCTAAAATAACATAATTACTGATCCAATGTAAACTTTTCCGTAAAGTAGACTTTTTTTATTTTATTCTTCCTTCACGTTCCCAGTGGAACATAGGGCTTCAAGCTAGAGGCTTGAAGTTTCTGTCGCAGTGTTTAGTTTTACAGGATAGGATTGCTAGCCTCATACCCAACCTTCCCTCTTCACCAGCTTTATTTCTGGCTTAGCGAGGTAAAGGAGTGCGTCGGTGGCCGGGGATTGAACCCCGGACCATATGAATGGTCGGCGGGCGTCCTAACCGCTATGCCACCAACGCACCAAAGTCGGTCGGTCGGTTTTCGACATAGAACTTTGCACATATGTGCGGCAGTTCAAGTCGCCACAATCACCCCATGTAGCACACAAAGCAAGAGAAGAAAGTAGAAGAAATGCATAATATAGTCAGTAAACAGAGGTGTGAGACAAAGGAATAGTAATAACGGAGAACAAAACAGTTTAATTGGAAATCATAAGTCACAAGGAGTGGATGCATCTGCGCCACTGAGAACGATTTCGAGCCATGTCACCAATTGTTTCCAACCATTGGTTTTTACCAAAGTAGACTTTAAAGCCATCTTATTTGCTCTATGAAATATTAAATGCTGTGTATGAGAGTGACAATCAAAACTATGTGTGTTGATATCAGAATGGAACTTGTGTACTGTGTTAGAATATAATTCCTGACTGATGAAATTCAGTCTGCACCAAAGAAAGGACCAAACGCATAACACTAGTTACTGGTGTCCAATCAAAGTATCCACTACTGTCCTACAGTATGTCAATTGCAAGGCTGAATAACTAGCTAAAGGTTAACGTCTATGACTGCAACACTGAGTGACGTGGGCTGGAATCTCACAAGGGACATGAGTTATTCCTTCAAAGTTGCAGATACGCCTTGCTGAATAGTGAGTACCAACTAGCACGAAAGCTAGGTCCAAGGTTTCCTGCCGATTGACTCAAACCATCTAATTACATCAGAGTATAATTCCATTGTGGGAAAGATTTATTTTGATGAAGTCTCACAGTGATGTACAGTAAAATTTGCAGATAGGGTTTCAAGCACACTCTTTTTTGCCCATAACCATATCAAGGTACTCACAAAACTTTCAAACCTCATTTATATAATATCCTTATTACTTTTCATTGCTTGATCTGGTTGGTAGCAGTATTTCGCAATAGGAATGACTCATTACTCATACTGGAAATATGCAAAATACTACCCACAATAGAATATGTGTCGACTGATTAGTTTCCAAGTTCAGGCGGCTAAAAGACAAAAATATAACTCGATTAAAACTGAAACCTGCTAATGAACTAACCAGCCACAGGACTGCCACTGGACACCGATTCTCTAGTAAAAGTAGAAGATTTGAATTCAGCCAAGCTACATAATAAGCCGGTCAAGCAGCAAGACAGAACAGAATTCCTCCGGAAGCACCGCAAACGGATCTAGAAATCACGGTCGATATGCTAACAGCACTGTTTCAAAACGTCTGGAAAGAAGGAAAGATACCTACTGTTCGCCTATTCAAACTGCAGAAGAAGAGCAACAGAGGCATCTGCAAGAACTGGTGCGGAATCGTACCATTGTACATGCAGAGCAAAATAATAATTTGCGTCATCTTGGACAGAATAAAAGGTGAACTATATGCAGAACTCTAACCAGAACATTCTGGATTCAGGAAAAATAAATCATATGCAGATTAAGAGGAACTCGTCGCAAAAACCAACAAATTGACAGAAGAAGCAGCAAATACCGTGAGGATTCCAAGTGAACATAGAGAAGACTGTGGTGATAATGATAACCGAACAACAATAACAAGTATAGATCACCGTTACCGGGAAAAATTAGGATGCGATAACTTCCTTCACTTATGTAAGCGGCATAATTTCAACTACAAGCAGATAGCACGACGTGAATATCTAAACCAGAATGAGAAGCCTTCTTCATTCTGACGTCTGTGTGGTGATAATCTTCCGCACTCAGTATAAAGAGCAAATTTAGGATTTTCAAACCCTTTGTGGGCGAGAAACTTGGCATTTGTGTCATGAAAAGCATTTCAACAGGTTATTGCAGACTTTTATTAATAGCTCCCTGCGCCGGCTGGATGTCGAGGATCAGATGGCCGGCCAAAAAGATTCTGCAACAAGAAATTCTGTGAACAAACCAATCAGGAACACAATGCTCAACAATTATTCCGAAGGAAATGAAGTAAGTGGATCGAACACAAACTGAGAAGACCGGTGAATGACACTGCCCCCCAGTCATCATTCGAGTGGATTGCAAATAAGAAACAGCGAGTTGGTCATTGGTCCGGAAGGTCCGGAGTAATGAAACCACTCTTCATTTGATGATTTCAGGTGGTTTTAAAACAATAACTGACATACAACTGTTTAAGTGAATTTTTCTTATAAACCACCCCATGCTTTTCATCTCAAAAGAGACATATATTTTATTTATGCACACACACAAATATTTATCGAATGTAAGAATGCAATAGTTTCCTCCCTCAGCAAGATATACAAAGCGAAAACGACCAAGTTTACCTGAATAATCTGCTGATGCAGAAGTAGCAAAATCTTTATATCTAGGAGAAAATTCTGTCTGACATCGACGATGTGATTGAACACCTGAATACCATGAATCAAAGGAAGTTTCATTTCTTTCATTATCAATTGGCAAAGCAATACTCAGAGGACGTGTATGCTGATGACTGTGATGCTCATTATTATTGCTACTATTATAACCGTTTTGATAGCGTGAACAACGCAGGTGAGATTGATAATGAGATGATGTGGATTGTGAAGATGAAGAAAATTGTTGTTTGGACTGTTAAACAAAAAAACAAAAAAAAACATAAGTAGACAATTTTTAGACAATCAAAATATGAATAATAGAAAACATAGAATTGAATTGGTGGATGGTGACTAGCAGTGGAATCCAGGATGCGCATTTCGTCATATTTGGGACTCGTCAGCCAGTGGATGTACCTGCATTCCCCAGTGGGTGATGATGTTCCCACCAAGCCTCGAACCGATCGAGCACTTTGGTCCAGTCAATGGACGGGAAAATCTCAATTTCAATTAAATAATCAATATGACCCATTTCACAAAGGGTGACTGTCGTGTCCCAAGTGGTTTAGTGGATAACGCTTCCGCGTTTGAAACTATCGGCACTGGGTTCGAGTCTCGGTGAGAACATCATCACTCACTAGGGAATTCAGGTACATCCAGATGGCCACCAGTCCCAAATAGGACGAAATGCGCGTTGTCCTGGATTCCACTGCTAGTCACCATCCATCAATTCAATTCGAATTACATGCCTAGACATTGTAGTAGTATCTGCACAAGTAACCAACATGTCAACTTGAGACCGAGAACTTCGGTCTAGTCAATCGATGGGAAAACCTAATATTCAATTAAATAGAAAACATAAGTAACAAATTGAGGGCTATAATCATATTTGAAAAGTACTCATTAAAAAATATTTGTGCAGACTTTTGACATATCTTCATACTAATAGTTAACTAAGCAAGGAACCCAACAGATGACGATTCTCGTACTCTGTGTTGGTTAAGCAGTTATCAAAATAATAGAAATAGTGAGAAATTCAAAGCCTTGAGAGTACTACCATAAAAAGAAAGAACATCAGAAGCCCTAAGAAGAATTGTTATTCACGCTGGAATTAGGATGCAAGTTAAACCAACCAACTAACTAACTAACCCAGAGACAGACTTTATTGACTTAGGGACGCGATAGACCCCATTAAGGAAAAATAATTTAAATTACCGAATACCATATGAATTTAGACAGAGGTAGAATGATAGATGCTATTAAACTAAGTAAATCAGCGAACTCTTCGCAGTACGCACCCACCTCCAGGGTTCGAACCCAGGACCTTCTGGTTGCAAGGCGAGCTTGAAGACCATTAAGCCATTGGAACTCCATCCAATGGCTAGCCCATGAATTTCAACTTCTACCAATTCACAATATGGCGTGACCACTAGCGAATGTCATCAGTGGCGAGTATTTGTCCCCACACCCGGCCTGTGGTATCCCACTGATCACGTGCTATATAGTGAATTGGCAGAAGCTGGAACTCATGAAACACTGGATTGCGTCTCATTGGCTCAATGGTCTATGAGCTTGGGTTGTAACCGGAAGGTTTTGGATTCGAACCCAAGGGGATGAAGAGTCGCAAACTAGGACGAAACAGATTTTCACTGCTCCCAGGTTTTTCAATGGTCCTGTAATCTAATCGACGTCAGGTCATCGTGAAATTCTGAAACCAATCAAATCCCTGCAAACCAACGCTTGGAACTCAACAGTTGGGATGAGTTCATTTGCATCTGGTCATATAATAGAGTGGGATGGGTTGAAAGTACTAAAAAGTAAGACAGGTAGATGGAGAGACAGACTAACCCCTGAACCTTTGTACATCAAATCAACCCCGCACACATGCAATCGGAATGACGCAACGCCTGTACCAGATGCCTAGAAAATTGCATCAAATTCCAAAGGAGAGAAAAATACATACATAAAGCAAATTGTGAAACTGTGTGATTAATACATTGATATGATTGTGAGTCATAAACTGTGCCCAAAACGTCATCCAGTTACTAGCACTATATCACTATAATTCCATTTTAATTATTTTATTAGATACATTACAAAGTGAAACAGTATTATTTACTAGATGACGCTTCGAACACAATTTATTGTTCATAATCATATCAATTATAACTGCACAACTTTGTAACTTCCGTTTTATAGTTTTTTCATTCTTTCCTATTAGTCGTAGGGAATATCCAAGACAGGTGTTGAATCATTCCTATTGCCCACATTGTCAGCTGGTTCGATGAATAAAGTCTGTCTTATCCTTTTCACTCTCCAGCCTTGTTGTTTTAGATATTAAAACTGTCGTCTTAGTCCATTCTATCGTATGGTTGTGTGTAATTGCATATAGTGCTGTGGATAAGTTATTTTTTGTACTTTGCTAATCTGAATGACCTCGTCCTACGGCTTTGATCTGAAAGTGATTGCAGGGTATTGGATAAACTAAAGTGTTCTGCTAAACGGGCTTCACAGGATCATTTAACTGAGTCTCCTCAGAGTGTGTCTGATCCATCTCCGTTTTCTTTGGAATATTTCCTGGATGACAGATTCTTGATTGGTTTGTTCCCAGTGTATCTTGTTGCTAATCCTTTCTAACTAGCCACCTTATCCTAATTATCTAGCCAGGGCAGTTGTTGATAATAGACTGAATCTTATTCGAAATGCTTTTCGTAACACAGCAAATTTCTGACCCATACAGAAACAATGACTGACATGACATTAGTGGTGAAAATTCGAATCTTGCTCTTTATCCTAAGTGCAGTAGATTTCCAAACTGATTTGAGATTGATGAATGTCTGTCTTGCCTCTCCGATCATGGCCGCCTTTGACATCCTCATCGGTGTCATCTGGTTTCAGTTGAAATGATGCTGACTAATTAGGTAAAACAAGTGAGCTCTTTCAAATTTCCCCTATCACTAGTGACTGGTGTTTGTTGTTGGCTGTCTGGTCTCTTCATCAACTCTGTCTTCTATGTGTTCACTTGAAAGTCTGTCTTCGCTATTAGGCCTTTCTGCCAACTTGTTGGATTTTGCCTGTCGATCTACGAGTTTGTGTTACACTAGACATCAACCGTCCACGAAGTCCAGGTCTTCTACAGTCTTCCTGTCTTCAAGCTCACCAAAGTTCTCGAAAAACACTCGATGCATTTTTTTATTGAAATGTGTAGACAGACTGAAAACTCCTACACTTCATTTCGAAGGCCTCAGTAAAGACGTACACCAATGGTTAGCTATCCTTTGATCACCTCTCTTAAAAAACATTACCCATACAAATCATATTGATGAGTATCTTCAGTGATTTTCAAGTTTAACCTTGATTTTTATCTCAAAAAGCATTTCTAACCATTTTATCTGTTTCTCTTTTGTTCCTTCACGTTCCCAGTAGAACATAGAGCTTCAAGCTAGAGGCTTTAAGTTTCTGTAGCAGTGGTGATTATTTTTACAGGATGGTGTTGCTAGCCTCATGCCTAACCTTTCATCTTCAACAGCTTTATTTCTGGCTTAGCGAGGTAAAGGAGTGCGTCGGCCGGGGATTGAACCCTGGACCATGTGCATGATCGGCAAGCATCTTAACCACTCTGCCATCGAAGCAGATTCAACTGGATTCGAATTTCAATGGATGTGTGCCGCTGATGAATCCCACACACTAGGACGAAACAGCTAAGCATTACTCTCTGTTGATCTTCAGTGGTTCTCTAAATGACATCAATCCACAGTCAAACTTAAAACAAATCAACACCCCTACAAACGAACTTTTGGAAATAAATATCATTTGAAAAGAAAACAGTGTACAAATACAACTATAAACAGATAAATCTGCAACCAAATAAGCAAATCCACTGGAAAATCAACACCATGAATAGAAATTGAATTGCCTCATTGAAATAATGACGTAACAGAACTTAAATAACTAACAAACACACAATATGAATTATACATAAGTAACGTCAAAATGTGCATTCAACTGTAACAATTAACATAAACCAGATTAAATAACCTTAATTAGTCTTTTTTGACGTCTCTTTTTCCACTGATCTTCTATTTCCTGTTTATTAATATTACTACTGTCAGATGAAATAGTTGTTTGACTCGACTGAATTGTTCTCATTTCACTTAACTGTTTTTTGACCACTTTACTCTGCCTTCTACTAATATTGTGTTTCTGTGTGTTTCTGTTAATTCTTCTTAGCGATGTTGATGATTGAGTGTGTAGTGGAATCAATATATTAGGCATATTTGTTTTGTAGACATGTTGTTGCTTTAGAGAAGAAGGCAGGAAAATTGACAGTTTTTTGAAGTTGAATTAGGAGAACTAACGATTTGTGATCGACTTTGAAATAGACAATCAAAATAACATCAAATCAAGAGACAAGAGGAGTAGTTGTGCTTTATGTGCTAGTTTTCAGGGATTTGAGTGATTTCATGAACTATTAGATCCCCCCCCCCGATGGTCGGGTAGTTAACGTGCTGCTTCAAACCATAAAAGGGTTATGGTCGCATACTGTTGAAGCCTCTGAAACTAGGATTAGGCATATATCAAGTAATTTTTGTTTTCAAAGTAAAATGTCACTGCTCAAACTATGTACACTGCAAACTGTAAATTCAACTTATGGTGTCGCCAATTCTCCCAAGCAGCTAGACACAAAATGGGCGGTTTTTACTGATTTAGATCTGTAAGCTAAATTAAAAATGAGTGAACAGCGGATAAGGTCGTCCGCCAGACGAGGTGAACATCCATCCGGTTTTGAGATCACCTCAATGTGGCTACGAAGCGCTACGGATTGATATGGGTGATACACAAGCACTTAGCCTAATCAATCAGTGGTATACAGTTTTATTGAAAATAAAAGTTTCTAATTTCTCCGCAGTTGTCCATCAAACCAGAATATATTGATGGTAAATGCTATTTACTGAATTATTAGTTGATGTGTGGCAGCATTTCAGTTGTGGTGGTCATGAACACTGGATAATGTCTCCTGACGATATAAAACCTTAGTAAAAATTGTAATTTTTATTTATTTTTTCTTCTTCACGTTCCCAGTGGAACATAGGACTTCAAGCTAGGAGCTTGAAGTTTCTGTAGCAGTGGTGTTTATTTTTACAGGATGTGGTTGAAAGCCTCATGTTCACTCCTTCCTCTTTACCAACATTATTTCTGGCTTATAGAGGTAAAGGAGTGCGTCGGTGGCCAGGGATGGGACTCCGAACCACGTGAGGCGTGGTTGGTGAGCATTCTACCGCCGTACCATCGACGCACTTATATGCTTAACGCTTAGAATATTTGTCTAGAAATTACTTCAAGTTTTATTGTTAGTTCTGCTTTAAAAACTTAAATATAACTCACACCAGGATTTAGTACAGGTGACTTATAATAGTAAAGACCTAGACTGTGTGCGTGATTTGAGTCTGATGTCCCACAAACTCAAAGAGCCACCTTCCAAAACTAACCAGTCGGCAGTAGAAGTAGGTGGTGAAGAGAGGACTTCAATCAAACATAAAGAAGACGGAGGTGATGAAGGTACCCACAGACTGACAACAAGCATCAATCACCGTCAACGGAAGAATTTCCAGTTAACATTGTTTCAAATAAAGGCGTAACAGATGAGAATGTAAAAAACCAGATTTAGAAAGGCTAGACAGACCTTCTTTAATCTGAAATCGGTTTGAAAATGTGTGGCAGTGAGCATAAAAAACAAAAATTCCGAATTTTAACGCTAATGTAAAGTCAGTCAATGTTTCTATATGCTTGAGAAAAACAACAAGCCATATAACTCCATCGAGGGTTGCCATATGACCGGGAAGGGTGGACAAATGAGAACCCTGAGGAACTAACTAATCAAGAACCTACTGCTCAAAAAATTTGCAGAATAAAATCGAAATGTATCATACATATGCTGAGAAGACCGTTAAGTGACATTGCCAGTCAGGCCTTAGCTGGAGTGGAACCTGAATAGGAAACAGAGAGTTGGGTGTAGGTCTTAGTGTGACATGAATGAAGATCATGTGAGGAGGAGATGAGGGCTTATGGACGACCGTGGAGTCAGCTAAAGAGGACTTCAGATAACAAGATGAAATGGAGATGTGCTGGTGATGACCTGTTTTCCACTCGGAACCCAAGGAAATAACAATTATAATACTTATAATTGCATATTTAAACGTATCTACATCACATCCATACTTGTCCATCTTAGCATTGTTCTGTTCCTGTCTTCTTCTTATGAGAGATATTTAAAACTACTCCAGCTTGAAATAGTACAATTCAGTCAGGTAGTTATTGCCTGTTGCACGGTATTATTTCCATTCCTTTGCGTTCCCCGCGCAACATAAGGATTCAGGCTTGGGGTTCAAGTTTTCAGTAAAAGTGCTTGTATTCTATGACATGGGCTTGCTAGCAATACAGCACTCCCTCTTCATCAGGCTTACCGCAGGCTAAGTTAGGTTTAGGAGGGCATCGGCCGGGAATCGGTCCAGAAAACCGTGTGATTGACAAGCATTCTGACCCTGAACCATCGACACACGTTGAACGGTGTGTGAAGATACCTCATCAATAGTAGAACACGGTACGAGATACACTGTCAAATAACGTGGCTGTTTTTCGCATGAAATATAATTGTGTCACAATCACTCTCTCTCTCTCTATTCAGTGGCTAATGGTATAATCACGCCAACTTAATGATATCTAAGATCAAGTACTGAAAAGAATAAGAGACGGAGAAATATTTGATGAAATTATTACTACTTATCGAGTAGTTTCTCTACGAAATGAATACACTGGAGAGACATACTATATAAAAAATTCAAAAGATTAGTTAGAGAACCCATAATTACTTTGCATAGCATTTCAATAATTCCACAAAGTCATATTCATAATTCTACATGTTATTTGTCATAATTTTAATCCATAAAGAATGACAGTCAACTCACCTCATGAGAATTTTTAACAATCGGTGTAATTGACGAATCTGACATACAACTGTCGTCTATCACAGCAACCGGTGATATTGTCTTGTGGGAATGCGTATCAACATTTAATGGACAAACTGTACTGGTTTGATCACCTGTAATGAAAGGTTAAAATACCAAACAAATGTTTTATAAACAATAAAAGTAATTACAATTCATTGACATAATAAATAGTTTTATATATTTACTGCGTATGCAAATGGGAAATGAATCATTATCCGATGATTCATAATAATAATTTAAACAGATGGGATTCTACCACAACACAGAATTTCTCTGTACTGATTACTGGTTAAAGTCGGCATATGTTTTCTGTGTGTGTACATCAAAGTGTAGACAATAAAAAAGCGAAACTAATTAAAAAAAAATACAGAATCATGGTTGGTAAAATACTGTAGTAAACAGAATCATAACCAATGGGATCCATCAAGTCAGTTACTCGCCGATGATATTGGCTGGCAGCTGCGCTGATATCCAACTATCGACCAAAGGGCGTGTGTACTGCTCAACAGTCCGCTCCGTCCTCCTTTATGGCTGTGAGACATGGCCATTGAGAGCAGAAGACATGAAAAGATTAGCTGTCTTCGATCATAGGTGTCTGGGTTCTATCTCCCGTGTGAAGAGGTATAATAAGGTGAGCAATATTGAGGTTAGGCGCCAAGTGCTAGGTAAGGCGGGGAAATCAGTCGACGAGACTGTGAAATTACATCGACTGAGATGGTTGGGACATGTGTTACGTATGTCTAGCCATTGCCTTCCTCGACAGGCAATGTTAGCTGATATAGCATCAGGCTGGAAAAGAGTCAGCGGCGGTCAAACGAAAACATGGCACCAGTCAATGAAATCCACAACAGTTAGTCTAAGCCACGTAGGAAGGTGTAGACTTCCTGGCTGGTTGGGGACAGTAAAAACCAATGGTTGGAAACAATTGGTGACATGGCTCAAAATCGTTCTCAATGGTGCAGATGCATCCACTCCTTGTGACTAATTATTTTCAATTAAACTGTTTTGTTCTTCGTTATTACTATTCCTTTTTCTCACACCTCTGTTTACTGTCTATATTATGCATTTCTCCTACTTTCTTCTCTTGCTTTTTGTGCTACATGGAGGGAGTGTAGCAACTTGAACTGCCGCACATCAGTGCAAAGTTCTATGTCGAAAACAGACAGACATACAGACACTGTATTCTCAAAGTTGAACTGCTCAATAGTCAAAGTTTCATTGTTTTTTTAGAGTGAATAATAAGCAGTCGTATTTCATCAGAAGCGTGTCATGTATTAACGTAACTGAAAACACCATTGAGATTTTGTGATCACACAACAAACTGTCATACATACTGATACAGAGAGCAACAGAGCAAATTGTTTGCAGGTCATGATCACACAGATAAGAGGCAAGAAGATGGCGTAAGAATATGAGGTAAGAAAATTACCGGTGAAAATATTATTTGGAACCTTGGTTCGAAAATTGGATTACTAAGGCAGGTTCAGAGTAATGACAAGTTATTTCTGAATACATAAAGCACGTTTAAGCCTTTTTACGATCAAGGCTTCGATAAATTTTACTATTTGACCCAAACTTCTTTTATATATGGAAGAAAAGATGTTCAGCAAAGATTTGCTCCTTTCAGTGATATCATTCTCATGCTGTACAATCGCATTTATACGTAGTTAATTGTCGTAACAATAAAAGAAATATTTCCAGAGGTATGTCATTAGATATTTAATTGAATTTTAGATTTTTCCGTCTATTAATTGGACCGAAAGGCTTGGTCTCAGGTTGACATGTCGGCTTCTTGTGCAGATGCTACGACAATGTCCGGGCATGTAATTAGAATTTAATTGGTGGATGGTGACTAGCAGTGGAATCCAGGACAACGCACATTTCGTCCTATTTGGGACTCGTGGTCAGCTGGATGTACCTGCATTCCCCAGTGGGTGATGATGTTCCCACCGAGGCTCGAACCCAGTGCCGATAGTTTCAAACGCGAAAGCGTTATCCACTAGACCACTTGGCCCGAGAGCCACCACTTGCACAACGGTTCACGTTAATTATTTAATTGAATTTTAGAATTTCCCGTCGATTGATTGGACCGCGCATCCTGGATTCCACCGCTAGTCACCATCCCCCAATTCAAATTCTAGTGTCATTAGAGTTGTACATTTTACATAACAAATTACAATATAAAAAGCGTTAATGAGGTAGCAAATAAAATGAAATGAAACAAATAGAATGAGCGGCTTAATGTAATTGACGCGACTGAGTAGAATCCAACTAAAATTGAACGTGAGTCAAGCTAACAGCATTGGTACCAAAGGTTAGAAATTTATTAGACGGTGTGGAAATAAAATAACACAATAATTAATAAACATAAAAACAAGAATTGCACTCATCCAGCGCTCAGACAGATCAGGTACATTGTAGATTTAATGATTGAACAAACTTCTTTTGTACTCAAAGTTCAGGATTTAATGAGTGAGTTGCCATTGCTTCTGTAGTTTGAAGAAGTTTGGTTCGCACTTTTTGTTAAGATTCTCACGTATTTTGAAGATAAATACGAGTTTAAAGTCATTATTGAAAGTAACTTTGTGACCCATCTTTACGATGTGCTTTGCGATAGATAACGTCGGACATCTATTTCCTAGGATTAATTGTATCTATTGATTTTATTTGTTGTTGTAGCCATTGTGGAAGGTGTTTTGTAGCCCTAATCTGCAGAGGTCGATGAGAACTCCTTATGTACGTACATATGGCTACATATACATGTTAATACAGTGATATGTGACGCCATCATACAGATGTCGTGAGGGTTAGCTTGAAAATGTTTTTAGTTGCGTAGCAGGTTCTTTTAACTGTCGCCCTTAGTCAGACTTTGATGACCATTCTTAAATAGTAAGGGTGGTGGTGATTGGATCGGTGGAGCCTTTCGTTTGGCAATTCTATAACGTCTTATAAATTCCGGGCCACAGTTGTCATCGAATGGTGCTTTAGTGAAGTTCTGTATTTCTTCTTCAATGTTGTTCTGCGTCCATATATTCATGCTGAATGTGTTTGAATAAGCACTTAACTAATTCGTTCTTACTGTCTTTCTAGACAACGTCTACAAAATGAAAGCTTTGCAGTTAAGCCAGCCATCACAGTGGGAATACAACAACCCCATCAGGGTAAATAAACAAAATCAGCTCTCTCGCGACAGCCTTAGAGATCACGAGCCGAGAATAATTTGTTTCAACGAATCAACGCTTTAAATATCCAAAGTTTTAATCTGGTGTTCACTGCTGACTAGGTAAAGGATGAAGTTTTCCGGAGTTCCAGTGAAAAGCCATGTCCAGTGATGACCACCCGGTTAGAGGTGGAGAAAAATACTTGTCAATCACATTGGCTGGTGGTTACGCTAAAGAAATCACGAAATGGAAGAAGTCGAAACCCACTGGCTTTCGAACCGGGTCCCAGCGGCTGACTGGTCTATGAGCTCACCTTGGACCGGAATGTCTTGTGTTTCTAACCACAGTAGGTGCTTACTGCCGATTAGTCCTAAACTAGAAAGATTACATACATAATTAGTTCTCCTTGAAGTATATTCTTAAAACAACATTTAATTTTCACTGGAAATCACACCTGTTTAGGTTATGCATTCATCATAATAATAGTGATAATCAAAATAAACTATAAAAATATGTTCCAAAAAAGTGTAAACGTCAGTTTTCCGAAAGCTAGATTAAAGTGAATTACCTATTTGAGGAAATTAATGCATTTGATTGTTTTAATCTAACTTTCAGAAATCGCTGATTTCCTTCCCCCCTCTCCCCAACACTCTCAACCATCTTTTGTGGTGTAATCAACTGATAACAAGCACAAAGTTTCTAGGTGATCAGGGAAAGAAATTCGGCATAAAGTATAATAATAGAGAGAAGAAGATGTTAGGCAATGATATTATCAGACCACACTAATAGTTGATAATTAAATGTCAATAGAAAAAGGGAATTAAAAGTTTCTAGTATCAAACAGTCTTCAGACAAACACCCTTTTTGGCAAAATCCTGAATGTTATTCAAAAAAAAGAATGTTATGATCTTTAATTATCATAAAATCTATTTTATTTAAATGGAAGGTGAAAAAAAGAACACGCTACTAAGCAATTCTGGCGGTGATACGTGCTATTCAATTAATAGTTTTGTTTGTTTAATATATTAACCAAGAAACAAATAACCATTTCACTTTTGCCAACTTGGTATTAAACAAGTTCACCAGTGAGAATTTACTTATGTTTATTATAATTGGCGCGCCGATGGCACAGCGGAAGAGTACCCATCGATCACGCAGGTGGTCCGCGGTTCGATTCCCGGCCACCGACACACTCCTATACCTCGCCAAACCAGTGGTAAGACTAGGAAAGAGGCGAGGTTGGGCATGGGGGCTGGCAACGCCATCCTGTAAAAATAATGACCACTGCTACCAAAACTTCAAGCCTCTAGCTTCAAGCCCTATGTTCCACTGAGAACGTAAAAGAATTTTTAAAAATTACTATAATTTGTCATTCTCTTGGGTTCCATGTGGAACACAAGGCTTCAACAGCATATCTTCATTATATCCTGTTCTCTGTAGTCTTCTGAAGTCGGCTCCACACTGGCCAAAGAGCTTTCATCTCCTCTTGCCACGGTCTCCTCCATGTCGTCGTTTCCATTCGACTTCCAATCTAGTAATGTTCTGGCAAGTTATATCATCCGACGGCCTCCTCAGAGTGTGTCCATTGGACCCAATTTTCATTTTCTTCTCGGTTCGTTTGTTCCTAGAGTTTTTTTGTTTCCAATTCTTTCTGGCTAGCCATCTAATCTTTAGCGTCTGGTAAAGGCAGCTGTTGACAAAAGTTTCAAGCCTATTCGAAATGCTTTTCATCATGTGAGCGTCAACATTCTAATCCACATAGAAGAACTGGCCTAACATTGGTGTTTAAAATCCGAATATTGTCTTTAGTGCTTAGCTCAGTAGATTTTCAAACTGATTTCACAGTGATGAAGGTCTGTAGTGCCATTGAGATTCCAATTTTGAAATCCTCTTCTGTCACATCCGACTGTAGTTGAAATGATGCTTCCTAG